CATTTAGTGCAACAGACAGGAGTGTGGGTAAACAGAGAAATATATACAGATTGGTGGAAAGAATAAGAAACTAGAAAGAAAGAATAATAAATTAATAAATAAGAAATAAGAAAATGTGACACTGACATGAATCCAACACTGTCTAGACTGTGGTATAAATATAGAGAGGAACCCAATTATATAGATTTTATGTAAAAAGAATCACTGACCATTCACTGACCAACACTGAACTTGTTTTCAACGTTGTGTTTCAACATTAACTCACTTAAATGTTTGGGTCATTTCTGTCCAGTTTTGAGGTCAGCGTTGTCACACAAACGCCGTCTTTCCCCAGTGGTGGCGGGTCAAACAGACTAATCTTTATAATAACAGTCATCAGGCTGTTGATTCCATCTTCTGCCGACCCTTCATTTTTTTTCGGTTGTTTTCCACTTCTTTCTTTCTTGGCTCGGCACGATCAACAAGATGCTGTGTTTGTGTGTGAATGTCAACACCACAGGTTGTTCACAGGTGAAGTTTCCCCTGGTCGTTCCTCCCCCAAGATTAAAGTTAATGGTTGCAAGCTGAGCAAATGTAATGTCAAATTTAAAAAGGCAGTTAAAAAAAAACGGAACATGTGGCACCAGTGATATAAACCGCTGAGGTAAAATATTTTTATTTTATTTTTTGGTTGTGAATGTGTGTAGTTGTTCCCACAGTATAACAAATTTGTGCCACAGAGGAAAAAAAGTCTGTGACCTGTAAAATCATCAAACGACATTTACTGGGAGGAAACAAAGGCCGACTCTAACCGGAATCCAATCATTTCTTCATTGCCTCATATAAAAGGGTTACAGTGTATCTTCAAAAATCTCTTGTTCAAGGTTCACTGTGACCTTTATGGTTATCCATACAGTGCCGTGAGAGAGGGCAGGGCTGAGTTAGGACTAAAGAAGATTGGAAATGTCTTTGTAAAAAGTAACGTCACACGAAAGAAATCGCGATAATTATTACAGCTCACAAACAGAATTTCAGACGTGGTCCTGCAGCTGCTGCTCTTTTTGTTTGGTTCTTTGTTTGGAGAATGTCAGATCTACAGTGAGGTTTTCTGCTGCCGACTGGGATTTTGTGTGGAGAGCCTCTCAGATTGAGGGATGATTATGCAAGCATCATGCAGAGGAGATCCTCCATTAAACTGCACTGTCACGCTGCTAATGTGCCCGTATGACAAGACACAATTAGGATTTGGCATTTTAGTAAATAGTGAGAAGATTTTTTTTTTTTTTAAACTGAAGTGAAGAGCGAGGGTCGCCCACTGTGTACTCCAATGTGTCGTGTAAAAAAAAAAAAAAAAAACCTTGGTGATGCTGTGGGGGCTGAATGACTAAACATGGCATTAGGGTACCATTAGTACCATTGAAGCTGAGGCTTATATTAGAGTACTGCATAAACATATACTCATTTCAAACAACATATTATTCCAGGAACAGCAGCACAGTGTCAGACTCTGTTCCCTCATCCCTCATCTTCCTGAACAAAACTAGGCAACATTTCACACTGTGGTGAAAATTGTCCTGCGAAGATGTTCCTGTAAAAATGACCTTGTTTGGCTGAAGTAGCGGGAAACTGCCACTACTTTAAAATAATTTTTGGTACAACATTTGGGTGTAGACACGATTTCAAGAACGGTAAGAAAAAATATTCATATATGGCAGGAGACATAGATAGTGCCAGAGGTCAAAGTGTATGTAATCTGGACTTGTTTACAACATCATCTACAAAAGTGTAATAAAGTACTACATTCAGTTATAGAGGTTGGTGCACGTCAACTCCAAGATTGGAGGTTGGAATTATTAATTTAAAAAATCTTAATTATTTACTATAAAGCAAAAAAACAAAAGTGCACAAAATTCTTGTTTTCGTTAACCTAATATTTTGCATCACTTCTTGAGAATCCAGTGTATCGTTACACCCATAGGAAAAGATAAATGATGATAAATAAATGATCCTTTGTACGTAGTGGCTTTATAAAGTATTGGTCTGCTTAACTGGCCTGCCTGCAGTGCAGACCTGTCTTTGTCATGTAGAGCAGAGTGAGACAACAGTGACACTGAACAGTGTCTTTTCCACCATATGAATGAACACATTGCACCACACCGTTTCCTCAGTTCAAAAACTGCCGAAAAGAAGCTTTTATCTCACATTTCTTTTTGATGAAAACACACCAGTCCCAGTTGTGTGTTTATGTTTTAACTCGAAATCTATTTCCCACATGTCTCCCTTCCACGCGACATGGAAGCAAGGCGACAATAAGTGATTGACGCAAACAAAACCCGGCTGGATTAATTTCCCACAAAGAGAATTTTTCCACCTGCACAGGCCTCTGTAGTAAGTCTCTCTGATATGAGAAGATGAACAAATGACCGTCATTTGGCAGAGGAACAGTCCTGCTGTGTCTGTGTTGAAGAGCATCGTGAGATTGATGCAGCTCACAGCTTGTCAAAAGAACAAGAAAAACACGCTATTTTTTACTTCAAAATGTGAAGGGAGAAACTACATACAGCACTGTTTCTAATATTATCTAAGGAATGTCCAAAAGTTTCAGCTGAAATTGTGGAGTCAAGTGTGGTAGTTTCAGGTTAATGGACGGGAGGGTGGTCTGATAGAGTTTCTGGGTTTAAGGTAGACTGGGATTTGGTGTTAATCAAAAATTCTGTTTTTCAGACACAGCAGAAACTTTAGTAAACTTCGATCCAGTTTGGAGAGAAATGCTCAAAGATGGCTGTATTAAATGTGGCTTCCTCTTTATTAGCACAAGACTTTCTAATGAATCAACAAGATTAAAAACTCTCAACACTGAGGATTTTAAAACTCGAGCTGAAAACCCAGCGGTTAACCAACGTGGAATTAAGTTACATTCCGCTTGTGCAAACACTGATTGATTCCTGGTCTCTCTCTTGTCAGTCTGTCAAGCTGTGCTCGGTTAAAACCACTCAATCATTTGTTAATAAAAAAGGGACAATAAACCACAGGAACTTGTCAGTTCATTATAAGGACATTTCTTGCATCAGTAACTTTGTCTTCATAATTAGTGCACATATATTCAAAGCAGATACTTTTAACCTTCAATGCCTCTCCTTTAAATGCAAGAAGTTATGTCACATTTGTTAGGTTTATGTTAAAAATTGAAATAGCAAGATTGTGGCAGCTCTGCTTCTCAGATACCGTAGGGGGCAGTAAAGAGAGGTATTTTGGACACATACTGTCAAAATGAGAATAATTTTATAGAACCAAAGAAATTAGAGCCAGTGCATTAAATAATCTCTAAATCAAACCATAAGAGCATGTGTGAATAAAATGGACTACAAAACAAAAACTACAAAACAACGGAAAAAATACATGAAAGACCAAACAAGTACGAAATTATAAATAAGCCGTTGTAAATTCTACTATTTAAATGGGAAATCGCCTTGAGTTGATGACTGAACATGCCCTGAAATGTCTCCCAGTGCTGTATAGTAGGTGAGGAGAGAAACAATCACGAGGAGACTGTTGTGTGTGGACAAAGGTCAAGGTTGAGTCCAGCTTGTTGAAGTTGTTGTCCCTAAGACGTCCATTTCCGTCTTCTACCATGGTCAAATCCCTCTTGTGTGGAGCTTGTTCGTGCAAATAGAAGATTGTTTTCGGGTAAAAATAATTCCCCAATGCTGGTTTCCAAACTGAGTGTGAGGAAGGAGCGCAACAATAAAGGGTACAACGGTCAAAAGTGCATTAGTCACACCTATCAAGTGTCCTTATTGCGTTGAGGATGCAATGGGGAGGAAAAGAAGCCAAATGGCTCTTTTGACAAAAGCAAGTGCTTTATTGAAAGTTTCTGGTTGTAAGTCAAACCTCTGCTTTTCCATTCCTGTCTTTTCAAGTGGTCCTCCAAAAAAATTGGTCTTATGCAGAACATGTATTTCTTCCTCTCCCAATTTCTTTTTTCTCCACAAGTGGAAGCTTTTGTGCACAAGGGAACATTGCGTTCTTTTTACACCATGTTACTTTGACCTAAAAGTCCACAGCCTCACTGAAGGAAGCCTCGTCCATGTCCACTCTCCCCACTCGCACAAAAATGTTCCGCCTGACCCTGCAACCAATTGGAATAACTGTTTTACCATGAACCAGCAGATTGGTGGCTGTCATGCGCGAGCATGTCTGTCTTTGTCTCCCTGTTACAGCAGCTTAGTAGTCGTTCATATGGGTGAAACATTAGTAATGATCAAGACTGGACTGATTTACCACCATGGTCACCGCTACGACATTTACATCTTTATTCAATATCTGGATTTACATTATATTTATGTTGCAATATATATTAATTACATTTCATGTATGTATCTGTAGGATTTCATATGTTTTCAAGCAATGCTAGAAGTACAAGACATTAATGATTTTTATTTACTACTGTTTACTATTTTCAAGGTAAGATCAAATGGAGATCAAAAAGAAAAATAAACACATCAATTTAAAATACAATTTCAATATTGACTTAAATAATTAGTAACCCTCTTTTGTCAAGCCTTCTGATTCCCAACCATTTTCACAGCTTTTGGTTAGAATTTCCAATAACCAAAATTGATTTTAAAGTCATTCTTACAAAACTGCTATTTCCAATTAACAAAGAATTTCAATTAAAAAGCCATGCGTTTTGTTTCAACAATTGTTTTCAACAATTGAAAAATGAATATATTGAAGTAATATAAAATACAACTTGCCATGCTGTGCAAATGCACCATGTCCAGTACTGACAGTAAGAACAGGCCACATCCCAACACAGCCAAAACAAATCATCTCAATCTTTTGGAAGGAAATCAAAGCACAGAATTCCACTTGTTTAATGGACTCCACACAGAAACACATATCTGTCCAAGCTGGGATTGTTTAGCCCACTGCTTTTCACCGGAAAATTGGACATTTTTGGACACATCTTTGGTTTGCTAGTGTCCCATGTCACAACTTTGCCTCTGTGTCTCCTCTAGTTATGGAGACATGGTCCCAAAGACAATTGCTGGGAAGATCTTCGGCTCCATCTGCTCCCTGAGTGGCGTGCTGGTGATCGCCCTCCCTGTTCCTGTCATTGTCTCCAACTTTAGCCGCATCTACCACCAGAACCAACGGGCAGACAAACGCCGTGCTCAGAAGGTAAACAGCTGTGGCTTTAACTTTAACATCACGCAGAGACGCTACCATTAATACTCAAATCACTAGATAAATTAGATTAGGCTACAATACCCAGAATAATCAGACATTATCTAGTAAATAGGAGTCGATGGGTGGTTGATAAATAATTACAGTGGATCCCCGGTTGTCGCACGCCTCCCTTCAGAACAATTCTGTTCACATTATATATACACACTAAGAACTGTTGTCTGATTTTGCGGGTATTTCTTGCGCTGTTCTTTCTGTGCTATTTCTTTTATTTTTGTTGTTCCATAAATCACCATGAGAATTAAAAAAGCTTGTGAAAGTGGAAAGAAAGAAAAAAAGTAGTGAGAACAAGAATAGAAGTGAAGAAAGATTATACAAAAGCATGGGAATGGCACTCGTGTTTCAGATCTGGCTTATACAGTCCAATAATTTGTGAGAAAGTGAAGCGAACGTTTGCCCAATCACGACTCCTCAGCTCCAGTAAGGATGAATGAAATTGCTTTTCCTTTTTATAGCTTTATTCGTTATTCTGTTGTGTTTATCTTTTTTCTGTTAGATCCAATTATTTTCATTGGTTTTGTGTATGAACTTGTCCACAAAATACTGTTCATAAAAGTTTGAATAAGCAATCATCCAGGGTCCAGGAACGGATTAATCCATTTTACATTGATTCCTATGGGGAAAATAGTTTCAGTTTTCAAACTTTTTGGTTCACGGACGGCCTATACAGGTTCCATTTTGTATGACAAAATTGTGTTTTGTTTTTACATTATTATAATTCTAAGTTACAAGTGGATATTTCTCTTTACAGGTTGTACAGAGGACACATTACATTGGTATTTTTGACATCTGCAAAAAAAAAACAACAAAAACAAAAAAACTACCTGCTAGTCTATCTTACAATCACACACACACACACACACACAATTTGTTAACCTTCAAACCCATGTTCATAATATCCTTCCCTCCAAATGTTAGCCCTTCACTCACCGCACTCACCCGTTGGGCCTGACCTTTCTGAAGGCTATGTAACATGCCATTAATTCAGAAAGCAGCTGCTTACAGCTAATTGAGGAGAGAAAATGGCCAAGTTTAATCCATAGTCCTACAGAAATCCTACAGGTGAATCATTCGTTCTGTTATTATATTGATTCACGTAATTTTTTCTGCATCCATTTTAATCTGGGTGGATTGCATGCTCTCAAAAACCATTTACCTTCAGAGTTTAGCTTATTTCGCATCCCTCTTCATACCTTAATCTATACTCAATAATGGAGCTGCTGCACCGTTACAGGCGAAACAAAAGGTCAAAGTCAGAGATCTGTGTGTGAGCGTGGATGTGTTTCAGCTTGAATTAATTGGAAATATCCCCCAACACTGTTACGTGATGTGACCTCGAGCTGTTTACAGTGTAGTTTTTCACAAGTTTTAAACACCTTCAAAGTTTTGGGACCTGAAACAAATGTGTCCAGTTTAACGCTGTAGGCAGCTTCACCGGGGAGAATGGTTGATTGTTGACTTTTATCACAGGACAGACACAATCATTTCATACAGGACAGAAGACCGGAGGCGGGCTCTTTATCTCATAGCTCGGTTTTATCCGTAGTGAATTTTTGTGAAGTGTCAAATTTTGCTCCACATCTTCAATCTTTATGTCTTCTCGCAGTGAGAAAAGTTGTTGGTAGCAATTCAACAACTGAGCGACATCCATACATCCAAAAAATAGAACGTGAAAACTGATTCTCAAAAACAAAAACAGAAACAAGGATAATAATTAAATAAATCCTGCAAGGGCAGACAGAGAAATAGCTGATGCAAGGACTGGACTGAAAATATCTCAACGAGAAAAATAAAATAAAACAACTCTGCAACTTCTAAAAGACTGGAAGACCTTTGTATATTACAAAGAAATGAAATAAAATTAAATAAAAAAAAACTAAACTAAGCTTCTGTGTGTATGGGCTCACAGAATTCTGTGTAGAGAAGATGGCGCTATTGTGCCTCCCACTTAGCAATTATTTGGATGCGAGGCTGGTTATAATTAGCTTACTTTAAACGCAGCATATTATTCTTTAAATCCACATGGCTGTAGGTTTGATTGACAAATCACATAGTCAAGACTAATGTGGAATTTTTCTACACAAAATTTTAGAGCTGTCCATGCAAAATGTTTTAATCTTAAAGTAATGCAATTTAAGAAAATGTACCTTTAAATTTAAAGGTGAAGCCACCATACTTCACTATACTACGCCATTAAAGTACACCATGGCTGATTTTAATTCTCTTGTTGGGGATATAATGACTTGCAATAATCATTTCACTTGCTGCTAAGGTTGCTTCACAATCAAATACAAATACAGTACATTTACACAATAGTTCTCTCTTTTTATACCAGTTTTATGAAAAGAAAGAAAACGTTTCAGACCAAATATGGAAAAGTTAAAGTCAACACTAATGAAGTTCTCCAAGTGTTAGCAGCTCCCAGGGGCTTTAACCGTCACATTAAGTCAGTGAGAGGAGAAACTGTGAGACCGACTAACATAGGGAAGCTGTTAAAAAAACAAGTTTGAGCTGTTAAAACTTTAATTAACAAAAGGAGTACATTGTAATGCATAGATATTTTTAAGGGCAGCTGTAATAGATGTTATAAAATAATGTGATTGGAAATATTTAAAACAAAAGTTCCTTATATTTAGCACCAAAATGTGGAAATATTTAAAACAAAAGTTCCTTACATTTAGCACCAAAAAGTTCAATTTCTGCTTTACTAAAAAAAAAACGTTATGCCTCACGTTGTGTACACAGTGCGTCACTGCGATGTTCTGTGTACTTCTTTCCATTTTTACCTTGTTTTACAAAGGGTTATGAATTCACAAACACAATTATGACACACCTGTGGGCTGTGTCTGAGGAGAAGGACACAGATAAAGTGAATGTCTTAAAAAAAGAGAAAGAGTCATGATTGCTCTAGAAAGAAAACAATTTTAAGTGGAGCGCTTCCAGGGCACAGTTGTCTTCAGGCTCGAACATTTCGTGCCTTTTTATTCCGAGGATGGTTACACATTGGATGTCTCCCTGTCTGACTGTGGTCAGTAATGTTGAAGAACACATACGCGATTTGCTCGGTCAAGCCAGACCAGAGAAGAGAAAGTGAAATAATGAGTATCCATTATCACGGCAGCTGAGGAGGCCGGCTGTCTCTGTAACTGAAACTTAAAAACTTCAGCTACTTTTATAATTGTCTAAAACCACGCTCTGAAATTCTCTCTCATTATCCATCCATCTAATTTTAACACTTAATTCTGGGCACATGAGTTTGAAGAAAATCTCAGCAGACTGAGGTGAAGGTGGTTCACACCCTGGATGGTTGAACAGTCTGTAAGAAGGCTACATACGAAGGCAATCGACCAGTTACACTCACAGTTACATGTAAGGTCAATAAGAACAGTTGCATGTTTGTGGACTGGAACAACCCAGAAACGTGGACAGAACATTCCAAAGCTGGGACTAGAACCCAGGATCTTCAAGTGCTTTTGTTAAGACACAATATGAGTTGAGAAACAAAAACTAGCTTAATGACTTACTGTATTAGCTGCAGGATAAATATTTTTACCTGACCTCTTTGGTGATACAGACGGAGGGGCATGTGTTTGAGCTCCCCTAAAACTGTTGCACTTCCTACAACTAACAACAAGCTAACAAGTTACAAGCAGCTTGTTTCCATCCATCCATTCACCCATCCATCCATCCATCCATCCATCCATCCATCTATACTGCACCCACTGCAGACAGTTTGCCAGTCCATCACAGAGACACGTTAAGATAAAAACAATCATTCACACCTCATTCACACCATTGTTCCATTAAGAGTAAACAATTTACCTTCATGATTTTTGGAGTGTGGAGTGTGCTCAGGAAGTGTCCATAGAAACCAGTTATCTCTATAGCAAATGCTCATCGGTGAAAGCTATCAGAAACAATCAACTAGTCCAAATAGTTGATTCCCTGAGTCAGTACTGAAGTCCATATTAATTTTAACCACAGTGACATCAAACCTAAACTGATCCCTGCATTTCATGTTGGAAACTAAAAACTAATAATATTTCTATTATGAGTGAGGTTGGATTCCTTACAAGGCCCACAGTAATGTTCCTGGACTGACATAGTCAGTTATCCACACACATTATAGTGTGAAAAAAGGAGGCTTTGATCAGTCAGAAAATTAGACAGTGCCTCTTTGCTACATTTTTTTATTATTATTATTCCTGCTCTTTAAATAGACTCTAAGTCGAACAGTTCTCTTTCTTCTTCCTCACTTCACAGTCTGCACTTGTCCATACACACAATCATTATTTTTAATAATAATTACTATTATTACATCTGAGTCTCCAGCAGTTCTCACACCATCTCCGGGCATCTTCACTCTTTCTGACAATTTCTGTAGCATCCAAGCTAATTCTGTTATTTTCTGATATACGTCTAGGAAGCAGATATGGCTCCGTCTGTCTCCTGTTCCTGAAATGCATTTATATGACAGTGGGAGCAGCAGGACAAGGTTAAAGAAGCCTTATCACATGGGTCCAGAAGCACTCCAGGCAGTTCTGTATCATACATTCAGGCCATTTCGCAGAAATTCCCAACGTAATTTTGTCACTCATTTCCATTTTTACCCCACAGCTCTGTGCGTATATTTATTATTTCAGGCATTTGGCTCTATACAAAGGTTTTGTAAGTGTATTTTGTGTTTTTATGAATTCATGTTGGTAAACCATTGGCACTTCTTTGTGTTCAGCACTAATTTACTGAGCCATCTGTTAACTGCCTATAACTGGCAGACAAACCCAGCAACAGTACAGTACCGCTATATGGAAGACGACAGGGTCTGGATTTAAAGGTTAAAATCTTCAGCTGCAGTATTCAATTTTAAAATTATTTATTTGATTGGTTTGGGCAAAGGTTCCTGCAATTTCTTTCAGAAAATTGCAGGTCCAAGCAAAGTTGTCCATTATTTATTTCAATTCTTGTTGTTCTTTTCCCTGTGTCTACTCAAGATCGCCCTGAATTAGTGGAACAAAATAGACCAAGAGCGTCAGCATTCTGTTCTAGTAGAGTATACTGCAAATAAAAACCAAAAATATTCTAAAATATAAAAGACACTGAAAACGCTAATCACTGAGAGTTCTGTGCTGATGAAGACGTAACAAACTACATGTTTTTGACCAGTGTGAAACCCAAACCAAGAAAGAGAAAAGCCAAACGAGCAAAACAAAAATACAACTTTAAAGAAGCCTTGATTTCAAATGTGTTGGACACCTTTTGGGAAAACTGTATCATATATTGCAAGTCATACTTCCTCCACCAACCATCACCAATGCTGTAATAAGTGAATGTGGAAAGAAGAAAAAGATTGCTGCCTGAATCCAGGTTACAGAACCATGTGGAAAGATTTCCCTGAAGAGCAGAGTCACTTATAGCAGAAAATCACTTTGCCGGGTTAGAGAAACGAATGTTGAACAATTACTTAGGCATGTACTGTTTCGGCGAGTGGTTCTCTGTATTATGTGAGGCACAAGTTAGGGTAATTTGCCTGTAGAGCATCCAACAGCCTCTTTATTTCACAGTAATCAAAAACAATCTAACTACAGCTGCACATTCAATCCTTATAGACCAGTGAATGTTTTACAGGGTCATGGGTGGATCTGGAGCCAATCCTAACAATCGTTTGGTGAGGGTGGATGTTTACTACAATGCCATTTCATATTACGACCACATATAGAAACAAACACACCATTCAAACTTTCATGCTTAATATGGATGAAACCATTAACTTAATCCTTAGTGTTTTTGGACTGTTGGAGGCGCTGAAGTTCCTGAACAAAACCGATGCACACCCACAGACAGAATGCGCATAATCCATAAAGAAAGCCCATTAGTGGCAACAAAAGATCAAAGTTATAACCTGCTTCTTTGCCTTGGAAAAGAAAAACAATTAGTTAGGTTTCTATTCAACTTTGGTTAAAAATACTGTATGTTTGCTCTTATTTTTTAAATGTTAAAAACTCATGAAAAAAGGTTAAAAAAGCTAAAGATATAAATATTTAATCATATCAAATTACAACATCCTCCTAGAACTTCTTGTGAAAACACAAGTGGTAGCTGTGAAAATCACTATAGAGTCACAACAGGAGTAACAACATGACCAGTGTCCTTGCGTCACTTCTCTGACTGATGCTGTGACCTTTTCTGCTTCTATTCTCATTCAGAAAGCCCGACTAGCCAGGATAAGAATAGCCAAGTCCAACAGCGCCAACGCTTTCATCCAGACCAAACGCAACGGACTACTCAACGAACTGCTGGAACTGACGGTAAGACACACCTGTAAAACTAACATTAATTCGGCACGAGCGAACCACATGTTGTTTCTGGTGTGCTTGACTAGCTGAGAGCTAAACGTACAATATACAGGCAATACAATATAAATGATACCTTCACTGCCCTAGGAAAAAAGTTACACCAGAGTACAGTACTCTTAGCTTCACATTCACCATGAATACATTTGTCAGTTGTTCATGACCAGATTTCTCTGCACCCTTCACATCCAGTCCTACTCTCTTCTCCTTGCAGATGGTTAGTCAAATCATTTTGGATTCGATCGAGTTCGGTGTGAAAGCTCATGGCTGCCTGGAAGTGGTTAGAATTATCATATAAATGCCATCTGCGAGTGCTGAGAGACTCCCATCCCTCTGTGTCTCCACGATGAGGCTGCCAGCATCCTGGCACATCAAATTATGGTGGTGTCACTGTTGTCCGTCAGTCAGTCACGCTGCGTGGGTCTAGTGTGGGAGGGAGTGGGTTTTTTTTTTTTTTTTTTTATGAAATGACTGGTTCCCTTATAAAATATAATCTGATTAGAAGTGCTGCTGATCTTTTCCAGTTTCCCCCTGAAACCTCACACCCCACTGTGCCACAGATCAAGCCTCATCATCTTAATGGATGATTTGTTGAGAGTCTACTCAAAGATTTTTGTTTTCCTCAATATTGATTTCACCTTTTCAAAAATGTGAGCTCTGGATGTCCAAATCATATTAACATCAACCATCAATGAGAAAAAAAAAATGAAACTCTGAATTCATATTGGGTGGATACAACTGTTTCATGTATGATACCGATACTGCAACTTGGAGTATTTGCCAATGCCGATATCAATCCGACAGCTTCTTTTCTCCTCCAGCAGCCATTGCTGAGGCAATAGCGTCAATATTTGCGGCATGTTGCGCAAATTTAAGATGACAAGGTGACAAAGATATCCTCAGTAGTCTACAAAGACGGATTTCTGCCATGAAAATACTGTTTGAAGAAGTATTTTCACCCAAATAGTGGATATGGGGAGACTTTTTTTGTTTGTTTTACTAGAAGTTTTTGATTCACCCTTGTACATATAAAGCTGAGAGTTCAGCCTGATCAGTGACACACAAGATGAACTAATGGGTCTAAACACAGAATAAACAGACCTTTCCACTACATTATACTGCAGATAAAAGTGTAGCAGCAGACCTGGAAATGTCAAACTAATGTTTTTGTTTGTTTTTTTTTTGGGAGGGAGGTGGGGGTGGCTAAGTTGATGTAGCCAGTAAAATTTAAATCTGCCCACTGCTGACAATTATACCGACAAGCATGAAACCAGATGCTAATTTGTAATTTCGTAACTTCTCCCAGTGCTGAGCTCATTGTGGACAATTCTGCATATGGAAGAGCAGGGCTGATTTACAGCATGGACAGATTTTTACAGTGAACACTGACATTTACAACATCTGTCTGATTAACAGTGCTGGAGCAGCAGTGAATACACCCAATCACTGGTAAATACTCCTGGGAGTCATGTTTAATTTAAGTCAGCGATCTGCTTATAAAATATGTTTTGAAACAAAAACGTTCTTTGGATGTTTTGAAAAAAACGTTCATAAATATTTTTTTAAGAAACAATATAGGTTATCATTTACCTAATCAATCCAATCTAATTCATTTTAATTTGCTGATCACTTTAAAGCTTCCAGCTGTCGACCAAAGTGATGTTCAGATAAATACATAAAAACATTAACAACACCAAAAAACAGACACAAAATGACACACCAAAACAAATAAACTAAGAATAAAACTAAAAAAATAACTAACAAAAAATCTGACAGCCTCATCCAGGGAACAGGCGAAACAAAAGACAAGGAGGAAAGGTGGGTTTTTAAAAGGCATTTAAAACCAGACAATCCAAGAGCACGAGGACAACACAGTCACCTGAGTCAGCTGCTAAAGGAATATCATTAAAAACTTTTAAAAGTGCAGATTCAGTGCTACGTAGGGATTTGAAAGCAGATTTGAAGACCTCGAGGATGTCATGCTCTTCCAGAAAAGCCATTAGTTGACGGTAAACTAACTTCTGGACGACTTTGGAGAAAGGTAGTTTAGAGATTGGCCTAAAATTAGTGATAACTGCAGGCTCTACTGTAGACCAGGTTTTTTGATCGACGGTTGCACGACTGCATGTTAAAGATTCAGTGACCAGGTCTGAGGAAATGCTGCTATTTATGATTCTCTGAGCTGACAACCCTGTAGTTTGGACACCTCTTTAAATAGGTGAGGAGGGACAGCATTATTTGGAGAGCCTGTGGGCTTCAGCTTGTAAACAATGTCTGGTAAAAAGAACACAGTCACAGACTCAAAGCTGTCAAAGAGACAGGAGACAGAACTGAGCAGCAGTGGAAGGGTTAATGATACGGCAGCGTCGAGCAGTAGCGCCAGATTTAACTGTAGTACAGCCGAGAGCAACCTCCAATGATACAGGGCAATGATGCGAGTTCAGAACTGGCAACCCATATGATACAACAATATCTAGTGCGTCCGCGTTCATGTGTGGTAGACGACGCAGTACACAGAAGCAGCTCAAATAAACTCCGTTCAAAGCTGGTAAACGACTATGATGACAGCTGCTTACCTTTACTTGACTCTTGAAAACAGTCGGTGTTCCTCCTCCTCTACTTCACAAACGTCCAGTCCAAGTCCACGAAGAAGTCCAATCTTCGGGATGTGAATAAATCCTTTGAAACAAATGTCTTGTTCGCCAGCGATCTGCCATTTGCCAGGCCAACTCTGGTGGTAGCCGCTGGGTCCGCGACGTTAGCCTCCAGTGAAGCCCGACACAGAGGCCGCAGGTTTCGGTGGTTCACCCCACGGAAACGAGTACGAGGGGAACAGGGTCCGCGGGCCTTGAACATCTCAGCCGGGCCGATGACAGGTGCCAGCCAGGCACCGAGCGGCGGTGAACAAAGAAGTGAGGCATCGATTCACGATAGTCCAAGAACTATTGAAGGACCACACCAGACGAGCCTTAGCCTCAACCGGCGTCGAGAACGCTTACGGAAGTGGAGCCATGTTGCGCTAGAGGCGTGTCGGGATGCTCACCAGGTGCGTGGGCAAAATGCCACGCCCACAATGAACGAATTTCGTCAGACCTAAGGACCTCAAGATCCAGCAGTGGGTCGACATTAAAAGCATTCAACAACAACAGTCAAAAAGAACAGCACAAATACACACATTAGAGCCAGTGACTGACGGCAGGTCACACACACACCGGTGCCATCTTACTAAGCAACTATCAACAATTTATAGATGACTTAGTTGAAGCTAATGAGGGTTAGGTCAGGTTAGGACAGAAACTCAAGTATGAATCTTCTTCGTCTTTGCACATGTTTACCTTTCCTCTCTCAGCTTAGCTGGGGATTTGATTTACATGACTATGAGGCTGAGTCATACTGGCAAAGCCTGCTGTGGAGCTTTCTGTCTTCTCCTATTTTCATTTCCCCCCATGACAGGAAGAAACATTTAACCAAATTCCAAATTTAATTCAATAATAAAAGTAGAAAATGGAAAAAAGAAAGTTGGAAAAAAGGTAATTTTCCTATTTGAAAATAACAACATTTTCTATATATCGATCAGTGACACAACATTTCACCAAAAATAATTAATGTTTTGCCAAAACGTAGAAAAAATATTTAGAAATTATCCACAAACCTTACAAAATGTAATAACATTACCCTGGACATGATTGAAAATGTCCCCCAAACCTTTTTTTTTTATCAGGTGCAGAATAAAACAGCAAGATAAACCTGCACAAGTGTCATGATCTGCCCCTGGGCCAGGCTTTGAATAATCTATGAGTACTTCCAAAATGTACTGCGTGATAGATACCCTACAGAACTCTTTAAGACAAATAACACAACCAAAAAATTGGTCTCTTCCACTGATTTCAGCACGACTAACATTAAAACACTACTAGGTTATTCATTAACAAAGCCACGTTGTACAATAAGGTAGTACTCAAACTGGCAACACAATTTAGAGACTACACATAAATATACTTCATAATGTAATGGTGGTATTCAACAACTAAGTAACTCCCCCTCTCTTAATGTGAATAAAATGCCCCATGTACCAGTAGGAGAGGATAGGTGAGATACCAGAGGTGGTACACGCACCCTAGTTTGAGAACCCCTGTAACACATTATAGGCTGTACTAATATCGTTTCTTGTTAATCCCAGTGCAAGAATAACATTGTTGTGCTCAGTCATGTGATCGAGCTCACACCAAACCTAATTGCAGAGATGTGGCCACTGAAGAGGCCTGTTAGTGAAATGAAAAAGTATTCATCTTTCTTATTAACGTGAACGTGAGCGTGATCACGCTACATATGTGCTTTTCTCTCTTTCATGCGCCAAGCCCTGGTGGTACGTCTCTCTGAGGTATACAAAATATCTGTGATCGCTGCTGCGCCTGCGGGTAAATCCACACACTGAGACATCATGAGGGCGTATTGTTCTCCTGCCTCCATCTCTGCTATTGTTCATGCGCGTGGAACCCGAATGAAGAGTCCTTGGGCTCAACTGCCTCCTACTCCAATCCTTTGAGGGACAGTGTGCTCTGTGGGGAGGGAATTAATTTGTTTTCCGCTTTCATGTTATTTGGCAATTTTGATTACTTGGAGACTAAGATTTTTGAAGCCTGACTGAAACAAAGTTGAGTTTCTAGAAAGACCAAAAGCATGTCTTTATATCTGTTGTTTTCCTTATTCTCGAGCCTTATATACCAATTAGTGTTAATGTCCTTTTAATTTTATTAAGTTTTGAAATTAAACACATTTTAATGTTTTATTTCTCTTTGGACAAAAGACAAATTTTACACCAGTGCATTCAAACCCAATTTTTTCTAAAGTTCTTACAGTAGTAGAGTAATTCTTCTATCTCAGTGGTTCTCAAACTGTGGTACACGTACCACAGTGGTACGCAAGAATTCTTTAGTGGTACGTGGGGAAAATTCATTTTTTCACATTTACATTTTCAATTGAATAAATCTGAACGACTATCCTAAAGTGCTCTCGTGAGCCTCAAGGGAGACGCTCCTCATTCTTACTCCCTCAAATGGTTCAAAAACCATTATTTATTAATTGCAAATTATTTGTCTTCATTCATTTATGACAGTGACAGGATGAACAATTGGATATGCCCTCACTAGGTAGCAGCAGAATATTATTAAAAAAAATTAAAAAGAGAGACTCTTCCAGTTTGTCTTTATTCAAATCCTGCAAGTATGTCAAGGTTGTGTTCAACTAAACAGGCCAGGGTTTCACACTGAGTAAGCAAGAATCATTATAATTAATTACATATATGTTTAGGACAATTCATTTAATGGTGCACTAAGGGATTTTTCTTTTGTAAAATATGTGACACGACGCATCTCTCTCAGTTGTGGAGAACTGAGGAAGACGTGTCAACAGTGCTGATAGAGAAAGTTACGATAATTTATATAAACTCTAGGAGAAAGTTCTACTGAAGCAGGTTTAACAAGGATAATTATAGTTATAATGACACAAGATGCAGCAAAGGAATCCGATTATAAACACATCACTTAACAAGCAGCACAGCAGCTAATGGATCAACTCACACCATGCAAGAAAGTGCTCCATTATGGAACTAATTATCCAGAAAATTGTTTGAAAGTCAACAACAGTAGTTGTGGGCTCTCTGCCGGCAGAACGCGCCACTGACTTCTTATTATTGAAGACCAAATGATTTAACACGTGCACAGGTATTTGGGCAGCAAAATTGATATGCATAAAGTAATTCACATCCAATAAACCTTATGGTGACTGTGTCTGCGTGTGTGTGTCTGTGTGCGTGTGTGTGTGTCAGGGTACAGAGGAAGATGAGCAGAAGCTGACCAAATCCACCTCACTGTTAGAGAGCCAACACCACCACCTACTGCACTGTCTGGAGAAAACCACTGTGAGTGAACACCTAAACCAGGGGTCACCAATCTTTCTGTAACTGAGAGCTACTACAAGGGCACTCAGTAATACAGAGAGCTACTTGTTTGATACAGACTTCCCGAACAATGTCATAATAATCAGTTCTGGGACATATAATGCTAGACACTCTTCTTACCATCGTCATTGCACCCATTTGAATATCATTACAGGTGGAACTGGTTCAAAAAGCACAGTAACAGTACAATTGTTGACCCTCTTGTTGACTAGTTTTATTTTAGAACATAGCCCACGGGCAACTGAGGTAGTCCAGGGGGGCTACCAGGTGACCCCGGGCACCACGTTGGTGACCCCTGACCTAAACCCTTGAGTTCATATTGCACACATGGAAATAAATAGTAACAACTAAAAAAATATCTAAATCTGTTATTTAATGTAATGCATTTGATACTTCATCAAACTGAAAGGTTAGAGACAGATTTTTGTGTTTTCTCTGTGGATGCACCAATCCCACTCAGTCACAATAAGCTGGCTTTGAGTGACGGCCAATACTTGATAGCGAATAGATACCAATAATAATCTCTTTTTTTAAGTTATATAAAATATAGCAGCTGAAACAGAGAGGGGCTTAACTTAACTTTAAATGTGAAAAAAATTAAGACTTTTGATTTTGTTTTAATAAATATTCAGTGGAAAAAAGAAAAGAAATCAAAAGCCAATGACCATAAAAAAAATCACAATCTTAACATTTTGTATTAATTAGTATAAAGAAAGGAACTAAAAGATTAAGCGATACCAGAAGGTCACACTGATTTTTTTTCTATTTTTTCTCTCATTCACTTTTCACTTTTCTATTTATGTTGAATCGCTTTGGGAGCTGCTATTACTTGTTGACGTTTTGCTGATTAAAATCTCTAAGCTGCTCTACAGTCTCCATTCACTGCCGACTGATTTTCCTCTTCACAACCTAAACACAAATCTGTCTATAAAGAACCATGTTTATGTTCTGTGTAGAACTAGGCTCCGCAATAGTGGTGCGCATACTTATCATATATGATTAATATAAGCTTTTTTAATTTGCACTTGAAAGATCTGTTACTACAAATAAACGTAGTATACGTAGTATTGTATTTTGAATTTTTTAATCTCTGACATGTCAAATCCTGTCTCCCTCTTCAGGCTCATGAGTTCGTGGATGAGCTGATGTATGAGAGGAACTGTTTGGAGACAGCCCTGCAGACGTTCTCCTCACGCAGTCCATCCATATCCAGCCATGACAGCTCGGTGACGACCTGTTGTGCCTGCAGAGCCAAGAAACACTCCTCACTGCCCAACACCAGCCTCACCCACCCCATCGCAGCACAGCAGGGCCCCCTGCAGGAGCTTAGTGCTATACACATCCAGTGTGGTGACCCACCTTCACACACAGCCAGGTTATTCTCACAGCACACACACACACTGACACTAACTGCCTTAGTTGAACTCGTCAGAATTGAATCACGCAGCACAGATTCAAGTAGTAATTGACTTATTTGGTGCAGTGGCCTAAAAAGAGTACAAATGAATTGTTGTGGCCTTAATGGATCAACCTTTTTTCTCCTCCAGTCGTTCAAACCTCAATCTGAAAAGTGACGACAGCTGCAGGATCAATTGCAAAAGCGGGCGAATCACCACGGCCATCATTAGTCTCCCAGCACCTCCAGCACTGACGGACGGTGATGGACTGCACGGGCCCCCGCAGAGGAGGCCGCCCCCCACCATCCAGACAACGACAAGCTCAGCAGGCAGCAACATTGTGAAAGTGTCTGCTCTGTGACAGACATGCAGCTCCACAGGATGAAACTCAGAGGATGTGGAAGTGGAAGGTGATCCTACCATGACTTACAGTAGGATGACCTCCCTGGACCAGGGTCACGGCCAGGAAGTCATCAGCTGATATGATGAAGACGTGACGTGATGTAATGTGGAGACTTTGCTGAGGTAGATGGTTATTGTACATACGTGCACTGTGTGTCACGCGCTCATTCTGTTGTGTTTGTACTGTGGAATGTATTGTGACCCATCGCATTCTCGATCAAGATTTTTTGTTAAAAAAAAATAATTAAAAAAAGCTGTAAAAACATCAGCACAGGCTGCCACAAAAATCTGCACAGACAGTGGTTCTCCAACTTTTCATACTGCGTACCACCTCCTAATGTGGTTCTCTAAGTACCATCACTAAAATGATTAGACTATTTAGGAGCTAATGCTACACATGTTACGGAAATTCAAATCTTAGCGCACAAACACGCAGAGCGGAAATGAGATTGTACTACAACAGCTGTATTTAAAAACCAAGCAACCCCCCTCATCTAACTGCCAATCAGATTCCCCCCACATACCACTAGAGGGTGCCCACTAATGGCACAAGGCCATAGTTTGAGAACCACTGGGCTAATTAAAAACACGCAAAACTGTTTTCAAAAAGAACCTTTTGATGACGTGAATGTGTAAACAGAAAGAGAACTTTTTTTTTCTTCAATTTTATTGGTCGTGACGGTGAAGTGCATATTTTAAGCATTTAAAAATAAAAACAGGCAGACACATCATCCACGACTCCCCCGTCAGGGACTTGTGATTTTATTGTTCATCTGTTCAACATGTCATCGAAACTGAAAAGAGACTGTCAGGTTTTTTTTGGAGCTTAGAATGTTTTTTGTTTTTTTTCAGATATTTGAAACTGAATGTGATTAAATGTTCAGTGAATGCAGCGAATGTTTTCTAGTTAATATTATTTGGTGGAGAAACTTAAATTTCAGAGAGCAAAGAAAAAGTGAAAAGAAATCCTGTAGTTTCAGTGACATAACTATAATCTACATGTTCAGGATCAGGCCAAATGTATTTCTCTCCAATAAATACTTTATACAACATGTGTTTCAAATGCACAGCTGGGCTATAAATCATTAATTCCTTATTGATTTAGATTGTGATGTGCAATAATATGCAGGTTAAAGACAAAATTGCAAAAGTACTACTGTGAAACCACACGACGTGAAATGAGCCAAACTAGTTTTGGGGGAAATCTTCCACTCCTGAAGAAAGAACACTGTGCTGTTTTATGTTGATGATCAAAGCTGTTATTTCCCATGGTGCCTAGAGTGCGTTACATCAGTTTGAACTATTTTGTGTCCTGAATATTCTCAGCGCTTCTAAAACAACTGAGAAAACAAGTCACCAATGACTACCAGGGCTGTATAAAGAGACATTTCTTAACTTTGTTTTAAAGTTAGCTACAAATAGTTCACATTGACCCAGACCCCAAAGGTCAATATCCAGTTAAAGGTCACAGTTTCTGCTAGTTTTATTTATTTTTCCAACTCGGCCATTCCTCACACCAGCTTCAAAATTGGTTCTGACATTTGTGATTAAAACAATAATTCCAATAATCACCAATGGTTTTGTAGAATTAGTTCAAATGGATTCACTTCTCCATTAGGATTAAAGACAGTCTCAGTAAGCCCACACAGAAACTGCAAAAACAACTAAACCAAACAACCACATCCTGAAGGGGACATCTTATGCAGCTCCTATGGCAATAAATGTGTTTTCATATAATGTTTTAACATGTTTAAGTCTAAAAAAACCCACACGATTACGCACAGTTAGGATTTTAACTCAGCTTAAATATATTAAAATATACACGCAATGTCACCTAGAAGAATTCAAAAACGGAACAAGTCTCATTGTACAATTTAAAATGCAGATTATTAAAAAATTCAGCCCAAAACAGTAACGTAGCATCAGAAAATAAACAAACGGACTAAATGGATCTGATGATGTTAGTGAGTCTGATAACAGTCAGCGTTCAGAACTGGGGATGGAGACGTGTGTGTCCACTCCACGACAGAGTCATTTTGTATAATATGTCTCCTTTAAGATCAACAAAGTTCCTAACCACACTAAAAAAAACTGTGACTTTCTTACCACAACTAAAAATGGACTTCAGCTGTGACATTAAAGCTTTTTGTTTTTGTTTTTTGGTGGACCTGAGAACGACGGCTGATTCAACAGGATCTGTTTTATGTTCTTAACATTTATGTTCCTTCCTGCTGCAGTGTTGTTCAGTGATTGTTTGTGACTTCTTCCTCCTCACTGTGCTATGGTGTGTTGCAGTGTCAAAAAAAAAACTGTTGTTTTTTTTTTGTTCTTTGCTTTAATAAAAGATTAACCTTCAAATGTGTTTCAGTCCTGATGACGCTCTATTCCTTCCTGCTGTACTTGTGAGCTTTCTGTTGGCCTCTTATTTCTGTGTTTGTTGCTGTTCTGAAATGAAGGTGAAAGTGTTTGTGTCCAAACGGTCACTTTTCTATCATTTCTTCTTTGCTGCTATCTGAAAATCGCAACAAGGACGAACCCTTTAGATATGTTTTCCTCTCTCTCCACTGGCTCAGCTGACAATGATGGACATCTGGACACTCATGCACACAGAAGACATTTGTGCGATGGCTCGGGTCAGACGGGGTTTTGTCTGACGTGGTGATGACTTCATGTAAAAAGTGTTCATGTTAAAAACGGACTGTGGAGTTCACTGTGGGAGGCCATTGTTCTAGAAGAATCCCGCCATTAATGTTTCCATTCTTTTTATCCTTCTGGGCGGAGCTTTGTTTTTGTCTGTGTTTACAGTACACTGTCAGTTTGACTTTAACAACTATGAAGTGAAATTAAAACATGTCACAGAAAATCACCACTCCTCCCTTCGCCGTTTTTTATTTTATTTGGTCATGTGTAATAATGTCATTACTATTGTAATAAGAGGCATGTTTACATAAATTAATGACTTTGTGTCCATTTGCATACAATAATAGCTGTGTATGCTAAATAGCAAACACTAAAAGTGTCGATTAGACATAAAATGGCAAAACCACTAGACGATGGCGATTAATCTAAATTACCACTAGATGGCAGTGTAGCATATTTTACCAGCGTGCATAGCGCTAAGCTAATTTGTTATTTAACGTGTTATTGATTAATGTTGACTTTATAATAACGTAATATTGACTGCAGTTCAGTGGATAAAAATGTATTTGATGTAAAGTTTTATTCTTAAAAAGACGGAGTGGTTGCCAACGCAGTACATTTGATTAGCAATCAAGACATCAGAGTCTTTTTTTTGGTAGAAGAATGATTATAAACTGCAAATATTTTATAGTCATTACATGTCAACCATACTTAAGTTTTTAAAGAATGTTTTTTCGTATTTCATTCCCCTCTCTTTTGCTCCAATGATGCACAATATCACTGAGACCACAGCTAACCCCTGTGAACTCACATTAACTCATTTGTAAACAATAGGTTTAATATCCGTATGTTGTTGTATTGCTGTAGAGAAGCGGTGGTCAGTGTGTGTGTGCAGAGCAGGTAGAAAAGGTGTTTTGAGATAAGGATGATGAAGACGATGCTGACGATGAGGATGAATAACCAGACACTGACCTTTCCTGACATGCCATTTCTTTATGATCTAAGTCTATGTCACTGATGTGGTTTGAAGTACATATTTGTCAGGTGAGGCCTGACAGTTGCTGCAGTTATCTGCCAGACATGACATCATCACGGAGGCTCCTGTTTCCTGACAACAGGCAGCACAACACTCGTTATTCACAGAGTGAAGGGATTGTTGATGACCTCAGCATGTAAATACTCTGACGAACAGTTCATCAGATAATTAATATAAACATTAAACAGGGTGGACTGGAGCTGATCTAACAATTCCCTGAGAATTTACAGTGATCCACTCAAGCTGCTGGTCACATTTCTACCTAGTATATCACAGTAAAAAGGAACAGGAAACATGGCGTGTGTATTGTATATTTTCTAAAGAAAATTTCTAGGAAACTCAAAAACCCCAAACAGGAAGTAAAACCCCAAATCAAACTGACAGATAGCATTTGAGCATGACAGCTTTGATTCTGTCTTAATCACTGTTCATAAAAGACAAATCTGAACTGGTTTCTGTTTACAACTGAAACACAGTCAGACTGTGTGTGTGTGTGTGAAATGACGTAACAGTGAAAAAATCCTCACACCTAATCAGAGCTAATTCATCCATCATTGTTTCTGCTCCTGATTCATTCACGTCTGAAATCAAAGATTTGAGCCTAAATCCTCTCAAACCTAAACACAGAGTGACTCAATGACAGGATTTAATCCCTGTCTGCAGCGATTAGATGGTTTCTGTTGATGCAGGTCCAGCGCTGAGTAATCGGAGGAATAATGTTCTAATTCCAGACTAACACACGCTGATAGTGGGAAAGAAAGCCAACAATACGCAGGGTTTTAACAGTGAATGAAAACAGGCTATTTTTAGGTGCTATTCTTCATCAACTTTACAAAGTTAGGAATATAATTTATTTACTGGGAAAAATCTTAAACATAAACTGGGATAATCTGGGCGGAGCTACATGACACAACAAGATTTTATTGACACAGATCTGCAGCTGTTTCGTTGCTGAATCCTGATTGGTGCGTTCAAATGTGTGACTCGCCTGCTTTGAGTTAGTTGATGTGGTGTGTAAATATGTCAGTTTCAGTCCATAAACAAGTTTTCTTTTACTTTTGAGATTTTGGATCACATGCAATCTGACAGTTCATTGTCTTTTACTCAGGTTAAAATAAACAGCCAGTACTACCCAGTAAGTATTTACACAGTATACAACAGAGTGTTGTTATTGGACTTAATTTTAATTTATATTAAAACTAGAAAAGCAACTTTTTTTATTACATCACTAAAATCTGATGTGTAAAAACTGTTAAGGAATTCCATAACATAAAAAATGGCTGCCATACAGTTGTTGTAACGCTGAATCTAACACCAGTTTTCTAAATCTGCAGTAGTACAACAGCAGGAAATCCTGTCACACCAACGCTGCGAATATTTATGAGAGGATCAAGTATGAAGCTCACACAGATGTTCACAGGCTTTATTCACTTCCACAGATTCAGATTTTTTTTCTCATCTTTCTAAAACCACTTCACCCATCTGGGAAAAATCTCCCACATCAGAGCTGATAATAAAACTGAAAGACAGAGGCGGGTCAGAGAGAAGGAAGAGGCTGCTCTGACTGTTGGACTGAAACATGCTGCGGTCAAATATCGAGAAACTCTGGGCAGATTAAGAAATACATTAATATTTATATTTAATATAATTTTTTGTCATTTGTTTTAAAGAAACCTTTAAATTATGACAGACAACGGTCAGCCTGTTGTGGTCGTACATCAGATCGGATGAAGCTGCAGTTCATCTAGATATGTTGGTACAAAACTAGATTTGGTTGAAATCTCTGATTTCCTTTTATCTTCATCCTTCATCTTATCCAATGTGACACACTGAAATTGAAAATTTAATTAAATACTCTGTTTTATGGAGTAAAGTAGGGCAGATAAATAAAACTGGATTTGATATCTGTTAGTACATTTACACGCTATTTTATTAAGACAAGTCATGTATTCAAATTGGGTCAACAGATAAATAATAGTTGATACAAGATAAGGGAGTGGATACTAATACCATTTGATTATGTTAACATAAAATGGAAAGTTCAAACAACTAAGTGAAATGGTTTGAAACAACACATGTTTTGTCATTGTGATAACTAAACTCTTGTTGGAAGAACTGACTCAGGATTTTGAGGCAGCCCTTCGGGTTAAAGTTTACAGTTCATTCCAATGAGGTTTAATATGCAGGTCACACTGCAGAGGCCAGGGGTTCAGGTGCTTCCTATACGACCTCAGCAATGGTGGTCAGGAAACTGTCCCTACACATGTCCTTTTGTGAAACACATGGCTTCGCTTAGAAACATCCTCCTTAAACTTCCTCCTTCAGTTTTATGTGCTTCTCTAGAGTTTTTTTTTCTTTTTTACTTCCACTCCGTAGGTCTAAACACAAAACCCATTCCCAGAAAAGGGAACAGAGTTTCTTTATAGATCCAGTAATCTGCAGCACCATTACTGTAACTACTGTAGCGTAGGCAGACATTGGTGAATAAAAATAAAAATGATTAAATGTAAACATCCCACGCAATAACACCTCATCTTCTCACCACTCTCCACCAAACCTTTTTGTGTATTTTTATGACTTATGTGCATCGTGTGTTTTCTTGTCGTGACTAGCTAATTTTAGGTGCATTACTGCCACCTACTGGGCTGGAGTGAGTACCAGTTGTCCATCATTATTATGCCTATAAGAGTAAACCTACTTAACTTGTAAATTCACACTTGCTCCATATATATGTGTAATTATTATTATGTTCACTTGACTTTTTGTATTTGAAATATTACTAATGAATTAAATACTAACACAGTGTTTCCCTTTTTTTCTGGGGACCCGTAGGTATTTTAAAAGTCACAAACCTTCGCGACCCAAGTCAACAGACATTATTTGTAAACTCCTGGGAAACATGATACGAGACGACCCCCCACCCCAAAAAAACGCTTGCGACCCCCCTGAGGGTCGCGACCCAGTCTTTGAGAAACAATGTGCTAATGTGACATTTGTAAAACCTTACAATATATTAAACATCGCCCTTTCAGTTCTTGACATTGACAAACTGTTTTCACAGTAGGTTAAGTTCGATCTTTTTCTGGTTAATGTTTAAGTGAATTAGTGATTCCTGCCTTGTAAATATACCAGCCTATCAGGGACAGCAGATCCATACTAGAGAATGGAGAATTTTCTATATAGGCGACAGGGTGAACTGTGTGAAACCTTGATTCAAGACTGGTCCAGCTGTTACAGAGACAGAGCGAGAGAGGGAGGGAGAGAGAGAGAGAGAGAGAGGGAGAAAAAGAGAGAGAGAGAGAGAGAGGGAGAAAAAGAGAGAGAGAGAGAGAGAGGCAGGCATTAAATGACACACACTCCCAGTCCCTCTCACACTCAGTCTGTCTGTGGATGCTGTAACAACGGGTTCATTACCAGGATTCTGGAGTAAATCCATTCCCCTCAGCCCATATCACACCTGCGTCATCAGGAGCCTCGCACACATTCCTCAGCACGCGCTTCTTCCGCTCGGCACCGAGAGCGCAGTTTTCGAAAGCTGTCTGTGGTCAGACATGGTCCAGCTGCAACTGGGCACACGGTCCGTGTGAGAGATCACCGTGGAGCGGAGGATGGAGAGAAGACAACACAACAAACCAGAGAGCAGGGACATGGACGCGTGTCTGAGACGACTGAAGCAGGAGCTGGTGCGTTTAAACCTTCATTACTATTATGTTATTGTTATTACACGCACTTTCATCACGGCCACGAACGCATCACGGTGTTTTTAATCTTTGTTTTTCCTTCACACGTGGAAAACATTGCTGGTCAATTTGGTACATATATACATACATATATGTCGTTGAAATATAGTACATTGTTTCTGTTTCTATCGCAAAACATGTGGATATTTAACTGTATGGTCATATCTGTAGTAGTGTTTTCCACAGTACAGTATCTGTGTACTACAGTATCTTCTGTGTCCTGCTCTAAGCTAGGACAGATGTCTAATTAGCTCAACACAGACTTCACTTTATGATGTTGTAACTCTCTGTAACAGCTTTATTTTCTATGTGTTTGGCAGCAGTGAGTCTTGGTCACAGATTATTTAATGACTTTGTCGCGGCCCCAACATTCATCCCTCAGCGTGTTCGCTGATGATCCGATGTTTTCTGTTTATATTGGAGATTGAAAGTCAAGTCAGTGTGAGGCGATGTCAAAACTCCTGCAGCCTCACCAATGAAGACACACACATGCACATTTTCTAGAGAGCCTCCCACGGCACAGATTGGTTTTTGGAATCCTCATCAAAGCAAATAGTGACCCCCCCCCAACCCTCACCCTCCTCCCCTTCTTTCTCTCCAGTCCTCACATGGCTGCATATGTTGCAACATAATCTGCTGTTTGACTCCTTTATTCACCGCTCCACACCAACCACACGCCTGTGAAGTGGCCCACTTCAGACTGGTGTAGACCTTGATGCCAGGAGGACATATTGTATTATAGCTTCCACAGCACAGTTTGGGAGAAGATAATGTGTTTTTTGTGCCTTTGCCGGGAATCAAACCGGGATAGGACGGTGAGCAGATGCCGGTTTTAAAAAGCCCAGGCGGTCTGGTCCGGTCCAGCAGCATGTGGGAAGCAATCTGTTGTCTGAGTAAACAAACGGCGTCTTGGCCAAGGTTGTCAGTTTTCTTTCTGCTGTGACTGATTCTCATCCAGAGCTCACTCCACAGTGGTTAACCAGCTCCATATGCAGAGCAGATGACAAGCAGCTAACAAGTGATTCACAGCTCCTCAGTGTCACCTATGACTCTGCTCCAAAGACGGGGACGAGGTTTTAAAGACCACCGCAACCAGTCAGTGCTTCAAGATCCATTCATTCATTCCTTTTTTTTAGACTTTTTAAACATAAAAAAAAACAAAAACATTTTTCACTAGGATTACAGATTTTCAGTACAGTTGGTTCTGTACTGATACTGTAATAAACAAGTAATATACGGTATAAAATACGGTATTTATAAAATGATAAAGTATAGATAAAGTTAAGTGTTTGAACTCTTATAATAAAATGGTACTATCATGTCCCTGTGCTGTATTGTATACAATATATACAATTCTGTAATATTTGTATAAGCTGTACAATAAATATAAAACAATACAGTTGTGTGTAAAACTATATAATAGAAATTAGACTATAAAATATATATACAACTATAAAATATACATAGAAACATGCAGTGTATATGTACACATATATGTACATATATAAATATCTAGATACTGTATGTACACATATTTATGTATTTAAGTATACTTTCTGTATGAAACTGTATGCTACTATATTTAAACCACAAAGTATATATATCTATACCCTATATACCTTACCATAGTCTATGTAAAACTATGCAGTACATATAAACCTATATGGTCTATACGTAACTTGTACTACAGTATATATGAATTTTTATGCAGCACACAGGGATTTACAGTATATATAAATTATACAGTGTGTATTATATGTATAATACACACTGTATATTATACAGTGTGTATGTCCATAACTTGTATATCAAATAATGTAGTATGTATAAAACTAAATATTATACATGAACCTATGCAGTACAAGCTATACCGTATACACAGCATATACCTATGGAGTACATGAGTATAAGCCATGCAGTATGCAGTACATAAAACTACTTTGGGAAGAAACATCTGATAAGAAAGTGTGAAGGAGTTCAGAGGTGGTTGTGTGTGTGTGTGTGTGTGTGTGTGTGCGTGCCTCTGTGGGTGGTAATGTCACGTCACACTTTGACATCTGACCTTTGACCTGACAGGTCTGGTGGCTATTTCTTGTACCTGCTGAGCACATCCAACACAGACCAGTGACACTGACACTCAGAGAGGATTGGAATGTGGTTTTTGGAACTTTAACTCCAACTGAAAACACACTTTGTCAAAAGGCAGTTTGTTTCTGTGAGCGTTGGTAAACACTGAGCCAGGTCTAATGACATAACATCTGTGAGCCCTAGAAATGACTCATTACTATTCAGACAGTTTTGTCCTCCTTCCTGCCTTCATGTTGCCACAGATCCCAACATTGCCAGCCTCTTGACTCACGTTCTGCAAACGTGGTGTTCACACCTGTTTAATGGAGCTATGATATCCTCTACCTCCTGCACAACTTCACACACATGCGCGGCCTCATTTATCATTTCACACCTGAGGCGAGTTCGTCTGTCATCGTGGAATCTAACACCAGGTCTGAGGACATTCGAGAAAAGGCTTCTGCTTCAGCCGTGGTTTGTTGGAAGTCAGTTTGGATATTCTCAGTTGGATATTCTTTGTTAGCATTAAGGCGTGGGGCCAGTCTGCTGTACACAGCCTAATAGCAGTGTGTGGGTTGTCATTTGGGATCATTTGTTTTGTGACTCCCTCATGGCTGCCTTTCTCTAACCTGCCCTTCCTTCCCCTGGGCTAAAATTGGCCTGGCTCGCAGTGGCAGCTGTGGGCTTCAGTGTTGGTGAGATGGAACCACAACCCTTTATACACAGCCATGTAAGCTTATGGCACCAAACACACACACACACACACACACACACACACACATACCTTTATATCAGGGTTGACATCAATGGAAAGTGAACCACAGCCCAACAGGATAAAGTGCAGATTAGTTTTGTTTTTAAAAACAAACAGTCTGGTGATATCTATAATCTCACATGTAACAAAATCAGCCCTGGTTTTCCTCTGATTGGAGTCACTGTAAGAACTATATATGGATCCTCTCCAGTGTTGCCAGATCTCATGAGAGAAATAAAATATAAAACAAAAATATATTAAACTTAAAATGTCTTGATCTCATTCAAAGACTAACAGTTATTGATGGAAAAATCTGCTAAACTGATTCACGGTGAGGAGGAGAGCGCCCACTATGTCCATGATCACGAAAAACGACCAACAACCCAATCAACACTGGGAATGAGTACTGGCCAATCAAACTCCTCATTCAAGCTGTTATGTCTGTGCCGAACAACCACACTTTATATACGGGCAAAAAACACAACTCACCAATATCAATATTTTTTAGCCAATAAACAGAACACCGAGGCCAAAATTGATGATTTCCCATGGAAAGTGTTTACATTTCCATCTGCCAGGATTCCCAGAGGTATATTACAAAATCAGCCTGCAATCAGTGTTCAAAGATGCTAATAATGAAATGAATTACTTTTACAACTCAGACTGACACTGACTCAAAAATCAGTCAAATGCTAACAGTTCGCGTTGATGACGTGCGTTATCTTCGGGTCAAATGCTAACAGTTCGCGTTGATGACTGCGAGTAAAAAAATGCGAGTAAACAGAGCGAATCGTCTGCCAACTTATCTCCACTCTGTGAGCTGCAGATTTGACCCAACACTTTAACCACCCACATGAGAGCTGCTGACGTCAACCGCTACACCACCGAGCCTCCGTCTCACTGTTATAGCTCCCGGTGATAATTTGTTAGCGAGAGGAAGAGAGCAGATTGGACCACCTTCAAATATCATCTCACACAGATGATGATGAAGATGATGCTCCCATAATCATCCCGTGTCTCCTGCGGCAGCATCACGGTGCCGTAGATGAGCTTTAACAGGAAACGAGCTGTTCAGGCGCCACCCATGTCTGAACGGGCCGTCAGGGAGTCCTACACTTGGCAGCAGATCATAGAAAGCTGATAGAGTTGTACCAACTCCTGGTTTAATTTGTGTTGTAGATATTTATCGGCTGTCAGAGGGGCTTTACTGTTGCATTACTGCCCCTGTTGGACTTCGGCAGAAACACGAATTTGGAAAAAGAAAATAAAGTCACAAGACGGCTATTCATATTAGACTTTTTTTTATTGGTCAGATTTATGGTCAGTGCTAATTTGCAGCTGAAGATAAAGTGACCTTTCATTTAACACAGTAGTAGCAGAGATGGATGAAGAACAGTGGAATCATTGGGTCATTATTTTACCACTGTATATCAAATAACCTAAATACATCAAATAAAAAGAAAACCAATGAATTTAAAACATAAAGTTGGTGCAATGTTTGGATTTCCACTTTACCCACAATTATTATTATGATCGTACGCTAATTTTATAGAAATACAAAAAAGAAACCTGTAAAAATGATCGCCGTCGATATGTTGAGACCCCCGTTCCACGACCCAACAGGACCGATATTTACGATCTGTGTTCTTTTATTGATCATTACTCACACTTGAACGCGTCCCAGAGGACACTGGGACCAAACAGCGTGACCATAAACATCTCACTGCTCAAAGACTCATTCATGGCCGCGTGCACAGTAATTCACTTCTTCCCGGTCGGCGATGTACGGCTTTATTGCCCTCCTGATCGTGACCCCGGGGTTGTCCACAGACGTCTGTGGTGTGTCCAGCACTCGGTCACAGAGTCTCCCTCTGTATCCCCCCGGACAGAGATGTCTTTCCATGACCCACAGGGGCCCACTATTCCTATTTAATTAGGGTTTATGGCCACAGGGTGGAGCGGAGCAGAGTGACTGCCAACTACTTCACTCTGAACAGGAAGATCCTCACAGTCCCCGTGACCTTAGTCTCGCCGTTTCCCCTCGCACTACAGCAAATCACAACGTTGAATGAAGTGGCTTCAAACATAGAACCATGCCGAGGAGAGTGTTTCAGATATTTACAATATATATGGAGTTTAATTTAATAGTGTATAAAGTCCTTCAAACTAAGGGGCACGGACTAATAAACTGACCGCCACAGGAGGGTCACATCAGTGTTTTATGATCCATTAAAAAATTATTTTGAAAAAGTCACTTTTATTTTATAGAAACATTGTATTACAGCATTGAAAAAACAAACAAACAAATAAACAATTAAAAAAAAAAATTTTAAAAATTAGTCATGACCAGGCGTGGGCAGTTCACGGGCCACAAGTGGCCCCCAGGCCAGGAGTTTGGGACCCTGCTTTAAGTGAAATCTTTCTAATTTATTTCTATGCAACAATAAAAACATAAAATATGACTTACTGGGGATGAAGTAAATAAATACATAAAATAAATAAAAATGGAATTCTTAGTCACCTTTTGGTGGTTGTGGAAGGACATGTATGGAGCTTTCAGTTTCAATTTCAGTTTTGTTCACAATGTCCAAAGAGTACAGCTCCACAGACTGATGTGATTTTCCACATCAACACCTACAGTAACACAGTCAGGATTTGAACCAGCAGCCCTCCGATCATAAGCCTGGTCTTTTCACTACTAGACAACAGGCTTCCACATTTCCCAGTTGATAATGATGAACATTGATAATGAATAAACAGGATTCGACCGTGCAACGACATGCAAGTGCCATTCAAATATATCAGACCAAAGTGAGGCAGATTTATATTTTTCTGATTCCCAAAAGTGAAATTAATGAATGTGTTCTTGAGGTCACATTAGAACTTCTAAATATTGGTGTCGGCTAAAACGTTTTAATAAGCTCCTAATAAATCCAGATGAGCAGCTATCGTTGTTGACCTGTGAAGTGTTCAGAGCCTAATTGGCAATTATCAACGGTTGACTGGCTCCACTGCAGACAATAGAAGAAGAAAAGGCAAATCGAGATGGAGGATCCAGACAGACCCAGCTTTTATTTTTGGTCCGTCACTTGCTACGTCTTTTTAAAGATCATCTTTTTATAGTTGATGGTTTCACCGGCTGAAAAAAACCCCCAAAAAAACCCTGAGGCTTTTGCTGCAAAAGGAGATCTCGCACAACTTCAAACAGAGGAACGATGATGTGGATGCTTCTGGACACCGCAGCGTTCCCCAGATGACACTCCTTTCTCATTAAATTAGCTTAAACACACGTTCCTTTCTTATCTCATTTTGCCTGCTTAGTACACAAAGGTCTGTGTGTCCTGTCTAATTAACGTCCTCGATGCCTCTGTTCTAACGAGGCCCTCAGTGAAACATCTGTATCTGCATTAAAAACTGCTGCAGGACTTTATATTTAGATAAGCCTATTTAAAAAAAAGTAGATTACCCTTTCCTCCAGCAGGGGATGCTATAAACAGTGCAACAATGCTACGTTACCACCTTACTGTAGTTTTATTCATGCAAACCAATAACTGTCAAAACTTCGTTTCCATGACAACAACTTGTGACAGCAACAACCGGCGACTGTTTGTTGATTGATAGAGATTACACCTTGAGACACCATGCAGACAATCACAGTAGTCAGGCCATTATAAAACTGTGTTGGCTGGGTATGCTGAGCAGGCAGCGCCCACTGGTCTGTGGAGCTGTACTCCTATCCAACAATGTACTGACACAACTGAAATCACACCATTCTGACACAAACCTCAAACGCAACCCTGTAACTCTCCATATCCCATCTTAGAGTGCTGGAAAATATTCAAACTACCACATATAATTGCTAGATTTGAGTGTTTTGGGTTAGCTTGTGCTAACAGGTTGGTCCTTTCAAGATGCATAAACTGCATGGGATTATGAGGTAAACTATCAGAAACAGTTTTGGAGTATTTCAAAAAGCAGGCGTTAGCGGCGCTAATCCCGCACAAATCTCTCTGAAGTCACACATTTGTCTCGGAAGGCGTAACAGTACACGATCTTCACGTCGTCTGCTCTTCAGTCTCGTTCACGTTTCACCGACAGCAAAGTAAACTATAATTAAGTGCTCGTTCCCATGCTCTCTCCCAGGGCACCAGCAATTGTGCGAATGGAGACATCTATATGTGGAGGCACAACGGCAGGAGACGACCTGATGCTGCTAACTACGTGTACCATCTACAGCTAATTTGACAAGGCCACAGGACGCTCCGAAACCTTTGTCTTTGTCACATGACCTCTGCGACCTTATCTGAGGCTGTTGACTTCAATCAGCTACATGTTAGAAATGAATTAAAATATATCCAGTTAAATAGAGAGCCTGCTGGTCAGCATTGGTACTGCAACCACAATAGCATTTTTTTCTGTATTGTTTCAAAAATGAATTATAGAGAAATGCCTTTATTCAGCCACAGTTTCATAACATCATAATGTGGTTTATTCTGTGGGCTCTTCAAATCAAGAACAATGGAATGTCAGTGTCTCACGATTACATCATTTTGTTGTTCTTTACCTCAACTCTAAGTCCGTGTCCACTTACTGCATCTCTCCCAGACTTCAAGTCTGCTGCTCTTGGCTTTAGCTAATTTAATTGTCTGAGAAACAAATAATGTGCACAATAAATCAAAACTGTGGCATACATTTCAATTATTAAACTTTCAGGATCTAATGTGATGGAGACTGATCTACATTTTGAGATCATGTAAAGGAGCCTTAAATGCTCTTTAGATTCTAACAGATCATTTTTAAAAACCTCCATTTCTTCAGTTGTTATATGTGATGGATAGTACTTTGAATTCTGTTTGTTTTTGTATGTTTTGGTTATATTAGCATAAACAGATTTGTTATCTGTAGCATCTGTTATTTTCCCAAAACCCACATTTCTTTCACGTTTCTCTCCTTTTGCCGACGGGCGTTTTTTTGTTCTGCTGCACTGACAGTTGTCCCTCGCAGCCAATTTCCCACCCGGGAGGGGGTCGACACAATACAATCACTGCTACGCTAGGATTAAGGCCCCTCGTATGTTCTTATGGTGTCATCCATAATTGAACCCATCTACAGTGTTCCCTTCGACATCCAGACATATGGCGAGGGATCTCCCCTCCAGCGAGCCTCCTTCTTCCCTCACCTCCATCCCCACTTGACCGTCTGACTCTCACCTCCCCTCTCACTATCTCTGCTCATTGTTCGGGCTCTTTCCGCCTGAGTAAACCACCCCCTCCCTCGCCTCCTCCCTTCACCGCCATCTGGGGATTACAGTCTAGACAGACCATCATGATTGGCTCTCACGCGCAGCAGTTTACGCTCATTGGCGAGGGCTACATATAGGGGGCGTCAGACTGAGCGGTTTGAAAGGTGAGAGACAGTGACAGGCTGGCAGAGGTGCACACACAATTGACAGCAGTGACAGAGAAAGACGGGGACATTTTTACACGTCCTGCCGTGTCAGAGGTAAGAAGACCTGGGGTTTAATTCTGAATATTTATTCAAAAGGTGGAGTGAGATATTTGGTTGTTTTAGCTGATTTTCCCAAGAACTCGTAGTTGTTATGATTCACTATTTTCAGTAATCTGGTTCTGAACGACAGCTTGATTTTCAAGGAAGGACAAAATATTGCAATGGAAGTTATTCATACTGTAAATCAGTATTTTCACTCTGCCAGCAGGTTTGTTTTAAATTGATGAGGGGAGGGCGGGGGCAGGGTGGGGGGGTCACACATACAGAGTCAGCGTCTGCTTCACTTTTCCTAATGACTCAGAGTTGTGTGCTGTAGGTCAGAATGTTGCCGCCGAGGTTTCTGTCTGCCTTCAGGAGAAGACGCTTTGTCAGGTCACATGACACGGGCTCTTAAACTGATGAGAGGTGCAGTAAAAGGTGGACGATAAAAGCAGTGTGTGATTACTGTTACACAGAGGGAAGTAAGAGCTAAGACAGGAAAGCGAGCCTGTAGGTGAAGGGAGAACAGAGAGAAAAGAAAGGAAAAGTCATTTTGTAGAGCAGAAGAATGAAAGAAAGAGCAGAGAAGTCTGTCCTACAGCTGTCACCGTTTGGATCCCCTCTCGTTTGGAGGCCATATGGAGCCCAGGTCTGTCATCCAAAACTAGGTCACATGACCCGCCAATACCAGAGAGCACAGAGAAGGATAGAGTCAGAACTACAAAACACAGAAACACATCAAAGTGATATGATCATGAAAAGGTTCCTCCAGAAACAGAAGAAACAAACTGATGAAGTCAGATTGGTGAATATTTGCTGAACAATCACTCATTTCCTCTTTTGTCGTCTGTGTCTCCCAGCAGCAGTCCATGAAGGAAGCTGGAGATGGCCTCCACGTGCAGATGAACTCGATGATGGGTGCGCTCCAGGAACTGAAGCTGCTCCGGGTCCAGACAGCTCTGGAAAACCTCGACATTTCAGGTAAGGCTATTTGCCGTGTAATGCCGCCTCCTGCTCCACCAACTGAGACCGCTGCTGTATCTGCTGGAGCTTCAATGTCAGAAGAGATTCACCGGTGCTCCCCAAGTCCATCAGCGTCTTTGGGGAGCAGAAACACCTTGAACAGCTCGTCACAAGTCAGACACACAGTCAGAAGCTCCTCGGCCTCGGTATCCAATCTGAGTGAGACTGAAGGAACCTCAAGAACTCAAGAAGACGATGTAAACCCTGAGACATTCCCCAAAAGGTGGTCTGGATACACAGCCCCTCAGGTGGACTTTTGTGGACCAGTGGTGGGAAATCCTCCAGCAGAAACCTCCTCCCACCCTCCTGCCTGTGATCCTCCTCAGGCTCAGGCGGTAGATCTGCCTGGAATCCTTTACAGCCTCTCCAGAGAGGGTCCTTCACTAGACGGCGACTACACAGAGGACAGTACAGATGATGCCGGCGACTGGACCTCTTCTTTAATGAGCCGCAGCCGCAACCGCCAGCCCTTAGTCCTGGGGGACAACGTCTTTGCAGACCTGGTGGGTAACTGGTTAGATCTGCCCGAGGTGGAGCAGGAGGAGATGGATGAGGAAGACTCTGGAGCTAATGGAAGACAAGAGAGGACAGCAGATAGACCGGGTACCCCGGCCCACCCTCTCCGCCTCAGCCGATCACAGGAGATCTGCAAGAAGTTCTCCCTCACCTCCAACATCTTCAAAAAGTTCCTGCGTAGCGTCAGGCCCGACAGGGACAAGCTCCTGAAGGAGCGGCCGGGCTGGATGGCTCCGGAGCTGCAGGAGGAATGCAACCTCTTCAAAAGGCCTAAAAAAGTGGTACCTAAAAGTACAAAAGGCAGCTTCTACCTGCCCTTCTGGGCCGGCGGACAGCAGGGCAAGGGCAGGTCGTGTCCTCGCGTGGACGAGGCAGAGAAGAGGCACCAACGTGTACAACAACATCCGCACGTGAACCAGCAGCAGTCGTTTCCAGGAATCTATTTGGACAGGAGACAGGCAGAGGCTGGTGTGGAGAAAATGCAGCCTTTGTTTGACTATAACACAGCTGTGTGGGTCTGACAGCCAGGCTGAGGCCAAGTGACGCACGAGAGACTGATGGGTGCCGTCTCCCCAACAGGTGTCAGGGCATTCAAGCTAAGATGAATGAATGAATGAACGAGTGTCTTCGTTGCTGGTTTCTTCCCAACTACTCATTACATGGTTGGGATTAGGAGACTCTCTGTGTGTGTGTGTGTGTTTTGTACAGATTGGTGCCCGTTTTGTATCAACTATTTTTATGACTGTTTGCATGATCGCTGTTGTAAAGAAGAAACAAAAGGTACATGAAAAAAACACATCTTTCTCCGATCTTCGTCAAATCCACAAGCGTTTTTTCTTGCCTGTGCTTCAGGACACATGTCCATATCTCACATTGTTGCATCTACGAATAGACACGCCAACTGTTGGATTCACTCTGATACTGTTATTTTATACTGAGTCAAGCCACGAACAGCTGCTTGTGAACACACTGCCACCGAACACAAACTATTCTCTTCTCTGTTTGAAAACTTCAGCGTCGGCCGAGTCTCGTTCACCACACTCAGGGAATTGATGCTAAATAGACGAAAAAAACAAACACCACACATTTAAGACAATTCATGTCTCTGAAACACAACGCGTGCTACGTCCAAAGACTGCGAAGTTACTTTTAGATTTGAGATTGAGTCTGACGTGATTTGCAGCGATTCGATCGTTCTACCAGGCAGAAAACACTTTGAAGAATCCAGATACAGGTGAAAGCAGAGAGTGGAGCACAGCTGGGTCATAAATATACACAGAGCATCTGCCACCTGGAGGTCACTGTATGTAGAGCGTGTGTTCACAGCAGAAAATGAATCAAAGTTTATAGTTTCAACCTCACAGCTCTTTGACGTACCGTCACGTACGAAGGTGAACATCAGACAGGATCGAGGCAGCGTTGGATACATGTCGTTCTACTGGTTCTTCTGCAGCAATAACACCAACATTTATCACGGTGCTCCGCTGCGCCATCACCACACCGCTCAGATGAACACGTCACATTATGATAAAAGCCAAAGTTTGTACTTTTAACGCGACCTGTGTTTGACCTTTGACTTATCACATCACACCATCACCACGAAAGGATTGTTTTAGAGATGCGATCAGGATCCACTCAGGATTACAGGTGACACTGCCCCCCACAGGTGCATTGGTGATTTTCTTGTATTTTGCAAAGACAATCTAACACTCTGACTGTTTACTGTTTATATTTAAAGAAAACAAAGTTTTTTTTGTTTTTTTTAATGAAGCCAGACTAATGAACCCATCCAGCCTGCAGGGATTTAGGCCTCAGGACTTTTGAGGGTCTCAGCCAGTTGATCCATATGGTGTTGGCCCAGTATTCAGGTCAATACACCCCACTTATTAAGAGGGTCCAATACAAAAACACACAAACACAAACACACACCCACACTGTATATTCAGAGATAGTATCTGCTGTAAATCGGCGTCTGAAATGCCATACGTTTTATGTCGATGTTTTATAACTTCCTGTTTACAGTTATCTGAATGTAACTTTTTTTTTCTGCTGTTGACGTTGTTCATTTCTCTTCATTTTCTTCAGGGGTCTGTGAACCTCCTGGGGTGTTTTCTGTGTCATGTGCACTGTACAGCAGTTTGACTGACTATTTGTAAATTAAAACTGTTTTCATAAAAAAAAAACATTCAGTCCTGTCTTTTTTTTCTGTACATTAACGCAGGTGTCTACGTTGAGCTGTTCGGCCAGTGTCAACACAGTGAATCGAAGAATGCTGCCTCCGGTGGACACTTACTTCACCTGTAAACTTTAACATGATTCCACTTTTGGAAAATTTAGTTGAGTTAGTACTTTAATATCTGAAGTTTGTATTTTATGTTAGTGTTTGACCTTTTGAAGAAATTTCTGTTTCTACATTTACATTTGACTTTTTTGTGTGATTTAATTTGAATTCTTAATGTAGAATCTGTAGAATCTAAAGTCCATTGAGGCCAAAGGCATTCTGTGCATTTGAAACTGACTCTAAATCACAAAAACAAAACATTGACCACTGAATGAGAGGACGTTAAAGTCTTCGTCTTTGTCAGCCAGTGATTGCTTTCTTTCCTTTAAACGGCATTTAATAATTATGCAAAACAAAAATGAAAAAAAAAAGGAAAATAATTTTCTTGGTTTGGCAAACAGACCTGGAGATAAAATGGTGTCCACATGTCCTCATGGACACTAGGTTTAAATGTGTTTGTGTATAAGTGATGGAGACAGAGGGAGAAATCCATCAACAGCTGCAGCCACAGTCCCTTCTCCTCTGGTCCAGTTTCCCCTGAGATCCCAGCAGATGATTGTCTAACCACTACACCCCCCCTTTCCTCCCCCTCATCTCCTGTCCCAGATGGTCAGCTGTCCCTCAGCCTTCCTGCACTGTTCCAGACCCAAAATCTGGGTCAGGAGACCCTCACGCTGCTGCACAACTTTTATGAGTCAGAATCTGCAGAAACGAGGAGCATCTTTGTCGTAACGCAGTAAAGTGTGCATTTATCTGTGACCTCTGTGAAACCTCTGAGGCTAATTTCCTGCACAGCGCTCGTCTGTCAGCGAGTCCTCAGCTG